CTAACCAGTTCTGACACATAGTTTCCCTGAAGACTGTCTCCCTTCTCTTTCTGAGCCTTCTCGGACCATAGTCGTGCCTCAGCGTTTTCAATCTCTTGTATTACAACACCTTTGTCCATTAATTCGAATTATTTTGTGTATAACAAACGTTTTTTAGGGATCAATAGCCTCTGGTAATGATGCAAATGCTAGAAAACAAACACAAGGGCAAAAACGTTAGTAAAATAGAAATAGATAAAAATAAATAAAAATAAATGGTAAATGAAAAAAACATATAAAAAAAAGGTTAGGAAAGAAATGTCCTAGGTTTTGGAATGTGGTTTTGGGGTAGGCTCTATTTATTCAAAGCCTCCCGGTTTGGGTTCTAAAAATGGTACTCGAGTTCTCCTTGCTGGCGCCCCCTTGGACCGACCAGACCCTTAGTCCGAAACCCATCACAGGCTTGTGTGGACTAAATTAAACTCGAGAGGACACATTCCCTTATGCCCATACGGAGAATAAATTCACACGAAGGCATAAGGTATATGAATCCCGAAGGCTACTTGCTAGGCTCATACGGTGAATAAATTCACACGAAGGCGTCGCTTTCACCCCCACTTAAAACAGGTTCGGAGCTCGGGTTTAGAGCCTTAGATGAAAAATGTTTGGAAAGCTGAAATCTGAGAAAACGATTAGTACAACTATTTACTCGAAAAATATAATCAAAAGTAAGCAATAAGGATCGAAATTTTACCTTAAAATTTAAACTTACCCTTTTCGTTAAAAAGACAACTGGAAATTACCTTAGCCTGACTCGCTTACCTTGTCCCCAGCGGAGTCGCCAAGCTGTCGTAACCGTCTTTCGGTTGAGCCCCGGAATTGGGCTTCGACTTGAAAAATGTGGATTGGAGTCGCCACCGATTATTTATTTACGAATAAATAGGTTAATCGGATACCTTCTATCTTACCTGATCTGCGTCTTACCAAAGATATGTCGGATTCGGGAGTCGGTTACAGCTAAGGAAGGATTAGCACCCTTGAACTGCCCTTTCGGTACTATGTAATTTCCAGTTGTCTTTAATTAAGAAAGTTGTAAATTTAAATTAAAATGTAAAATGACGATCCAAATTACTTACCTTAGATTGCTTAAATTGTACCCTTAAAAGATCAGGACATATATTAGATAAGGAATGCAAATAAAACACCTAAGGTAAAACGGAAAACAAATAAGATGAGGAAAATATAGAATATAAAAATGATGGTAATAATAATAAAGATATAAAAAAAAAAGATATATATAATAGTAATAAAAAAACTAAAAAAAACTAAAAAAAATAAATAACTATAATCAAATATGTGCAAATAAAATAAAAAGGAATAAATAAATAAATAAAACATAATAAAGGTGAAATAAAATAACATACAAATTTAAAGTGATAAGAATTAAATAAAATGTCCATATGTATATAAAAAATGTAAAATAATAGCGTATAAGGTAAAATTAATAAAAAACATATAATAATATTAATTCCATATATATATAATAGCTAAATATGGGAGAGAGGGAAAACTATATAATAATAATAGAAAAATTAAATAATGAAGATAAATATAATAAGAAAAAGAGTAAAGAAATAATAAGATAAAATACAAAATGTATACACATATAAATAAATAAAAATACATAAAATAATAGCATGTATTAGATAAAACAAATAACTAGGAGCATATAAATATATTTAATAATAATAATAATACTAAATAATCAAATATTAGGGAAAAAGTATTAATAATAGTAGAAAAAACAGAATAATAAAAATATAATATAATAATAATAATAAAAAAAAGGTAAAAACGGAAAGGAAATGTAAATATATACATATATACATAATATACCATAATAATAAAAATAAACGTAATATATTAAATAATAAGAAGCAAATGGATAAATGAAATTAAAACTAAACGTTAATTGATCTTAATCAGGGGTTAAATTGAAAAGAAGGACGAATCCAGTGGCCAAATTAAAAGAAAAATTAGGGTTCAAATTCAATTCTGGGATCAAAATGGAAGTTTTGAAAGAAAGCGAACAAAAACGCGATTCACCCCCTTTTCATCAAAACGCACCGGTTTAAAGGAGATTGGGTCGGGTTCCAGGGTTGGTTTCACGGGTTGTATATATGTAAATAAATGTTTTTTAAAAAACATTTCTCTTCTTCTCTCGCCGAGCCCTTCCTTCTTCTCTCCCTTTTCTCTGGTTTTGTTCTTGAGTTTCAAGAACAGGCCACCGTGGCCTGAGAATGGTGGCCACCGCCTCGCCGCCGCTCATCGGCGATGGTCCACCCTGAAACCGGTTTCTTTAAAATCCGTTCTCTTCCCACAACCCAAAAATCCCAGTAGATCTTCGAAAATCGCCTTAAAAAACGCAGATCTGGGAAATAGGTTTCGAAGATAAAAGCCTCACTTCGTTCATCGGCCAAAACGTTTTTTTTGTTATTTGTGTGGTTTTGAAGTCAAATCTCAAGCAACACTCAACATGCAACAGCGAAAGACGAGTGAACAGAGGTAAAAGATGCTACCTTCTTCTTATTTCCTTTTCGAAAGTGTTACAAAAGGCTTCGAAACTGCTTGATATCAATATTTCGTATGACTTTCTTTCCAAGTTCCTCCTCCTTTTTTTCTTTTCAGCTTCTAATTACATGGCTTTATAGTGATAACCTAGGCTATTTTTAGAGTTTTAATCCGAGTAAAACTCGGTTTGTTTGTGGTCACAATCCATGACTCTGACTTGGTTGTTTGTCTTGGGTGTTCTATGTGGTCACGATGCCGAGAAAACCGGATGTGGGAAACGTGCTGCGCGAGGGAGCTTCGACCGGGTATTGCGGCGCTGGGGCGAGAGTCTTGCTAGGGTTTTCTGGGCAACCCTTGAATACCATTTGCTGTGGACCGTTGGATCTCATCTAGATCCAACGGTCACCATTGTTGGCGGCTGGGACAGGAGCGAACTAGGGTTTCTTCAACGTGGTGGGCTATTCACGTGGTGTGTGATGATTTTGGGCCACGTGTTTGGGCCTGCAAGTGTAAAATTTTTTAATAAAATAATAACATATATGTAATATATATGTAATATGTATATATATATGAAAAAAAAGAGTGTGTCTACAATATGTAAATTCAATTAATTTTATACTGATATGAGTGAATCACTACCCTTGCTTTTACTATGTTTAAACATATTATAATTATACAAAAAAAAATCAACAAATTTTGAACTTATCTAGCGACCTTAATGATTAAAATGATTATTGTACTCTCTAAGTGTCATTGGTTCGAACAGTTGCATTTGCATGGTATATGTATATTGTCAATAACTGAAAAAGAATATAAACAAATACTACACTGTAAATATATCATACTGTTAAAAAATTAACAAATTCAAATATAACTGAATACAATTTGATTTAATAAAAAAAAATGCAACCATTCACCAAAGATCATCATTGCCTTGTACTTGTTATTTTTAGTAAATCCCTGTCAATAGACCCTCCACCAATCTAGAGAATTTGAAGGCTAGAAATATGACACTCCATCCCAACCAACTTCTACACACACATATATATATTTGAAAGAAATTAGGTTTAATTAACTATAACATATAAATTTAAAGGACAAAAAAATATAAAAACAATATGAAAGGTTGAGATTGAATAATATAAGTGTTTAGTGACGCAAAATTCAATAAAAAGTATATTAAAGTAGTAAAAGATGTATGCATGTGTGAGATGCAAAATATACTCCACTGGTATCATCAAGATTCAATATTTTCGTCTCCCACGTTTCAGCAATAAATTAATTTCAATAAACCTAACTGTTGCGCCGTGATGGCCCTTTACTGAAGGACCATGTCTATGCGTGCCATGTACTTTTTAAGCCGCGAACGTTCATGAGAAAGATCGACGCAGTTTTTACTTTTTACCAGCAGCTATGTAGGTAGGTAGGTAGGTTCAGTCCTTCAGAGGTTAGCGGACCATGGCGATCGACGGTATCACTTCCTGGATCGAGTGATGGAAGACCCTACCGCCCGTTACCAGCCTCTACCTCTACGTAGGCCAACTAAAGTTGGGCAAGGCGGCGCAACATTCGCTGCAAATTCCTTCTAAATTATTAGCCTTAATACTGCACCCTAATTGGAATGTCATGCTATTTTTTACTTGAATTCAAATATTTAATTCAATAAGTTAAATTTAAAATCTTTATTTAATTATGTTTAATCAATAAGTTAATATATTAAGGGATGGATAGAGGGAGGATTGGAAGGGTGGTATTATCCCTAAAAATTTTGATTTTTCATATATCTAATTTTTTTATATTTTTATTAATAATTTATTTTTATCTTCTAAAATTTTATAAATCATCTTCTAATTTTTTTAAAATTTATCCCGTAACATATAGATAGACCGAGGAATAGCGGGTGGGGGTGGTTGCACTGTAAAAAAAATTAAATTCTTATCTATTTTAAACATTCTATTTATATTTTTGATTGAGAATCTCCTTTCATCCTCTAAAATTTTATAAATTTAGTTCTCAAAAGCAAACATGAATCAATCCTTACTAATATACAATCATGTGTTGATCCCTGTATTTATTTTTTAAAAATATATAATTAAAATAAAATAAAAAAACTGTTTCTATATATATAGTTATATCACAGCAAAATTTAACTAATAGGAAACTCAATTCGATAATTGTATATGAATTTAATATTTATCTTCGTTGAAAATTGTAGAGCGGAACTTGATCCAACATTTGCAAACATTTACCATCATATTATACTGAGTCCGTACCAGTGTTAACCTACGTGTTATTATCTAATTCGTTTGAAGTTCGGCATATTCCGTTACAGCTCCCCGTTACGACGCCGTCAAACTCTCCCGTTACAGATTCCCGTCGCTGTTAAATGGACCACCATCACACATAATCCACCCCCTTTAAAACCGCAAAAGAAAATACTCACCGTTCAATGTACCCTCCCCCTTCTCTCATGATCAACAACACCATCACCACCCCCATCATCAAAAGCCAACGAAAACCATAAAACGGATGCTCCAAGCCAAACAAAAACGAATTCCCTCTCTCGCTTTCTCAAAGAACAAGAAAGAATTGGTGAAAGTGTAAAACAATTGTAGGAATTACAGTTATGGAGCTAGCTAACGTCGGAGTTCAAACGCGAGCCATGGAGGCAACCGAAAGGGTTCATAGGAAACGCAGAAGATTAAACGAAGACGAAGAGGCTGAATATAATAAAGTAACCTCTTCAACGACCTCAACTACTTCGTATATCCAGTTGAGAAGTCGGAGAATTTTGGTAGATCACCATCGTCGCGACGGAAATTGGTGTTTGAGCGCTAGCTCGGATCATGACAATGAAGTGTCATGCTGTTCAAGCAATTTAGGATCGAGCGACAAAAGGATTATCGAATTGCCAGATCTGGAGGTGAATTTGGAAACTTCCTATCTATTTTATATTTTAATAATTACGCTTAGTCTTTATGGATTATATGAATTTCGTTTTCTTCCAGCTTTAGTTTCTGCTATTAAATTATAGAATTATTTAAAAAAAATTGCAGGACGAGAGTATTGAAGTTGAAACATCCACGCATTCGCATTTTAGCTGCAGCGAAAGGTAGCGCCTAAAATAATTATAGATATGTATAAACAACCTTATTTTTATAATTACTGTAACTTATCGTATCACGTATCTTGAATTTGAACTTTAAAATCCGCCGATAATTTTTTTTTCATTTTCCGTTTTAAATTCTCTTTTTCTTTGAATAATGTATACCCCGCTCAAATTGTTTTGCTCTTTTGTGAATTCTAGTATGAGAGAAACGACGCCGTTGAGTGATCTCCAAGCTGAACCAGAAGACCTGAATTCAAAGTCGAGGTCATCGGCGACAAACTCTAGCCGTAGATCAACGGTGGAGAAAATGCCAACCGAAGTTGAACTCGAAGAATTCTTTGCTCCTGCCGAGGAAAAACTTCAAAAACATTTTGCAGAAAAGTAGGTTCATGCACATCCACTTTTAAAAAGACCTATATTTTCGTTCCCGTGGTTGAATTTTCTTAGCAACCAAACGGAAATTAAAGAACTAAAAGGAATTTTTTTGTTTACTGTTTTTAGGTATAACTACGATGTTGTCAAAGACGAACCATTGGAAGGACGTTTCGAGTGGGTTCGACTAAAGCCGTGAATAAAAGGCCAAGCAATCGAAGAAATTTTAAGTTATTATTATTATTATTTTAACATTTCTAGGGGTTTATTCTATGTATAGAACGACGAAGAAATAAAAAAGAGAAGAAGAAAACGAAGCTTCTTTCGAAGAGGAAAGAATGGGGGAAACCCCCAACTAATCGTGTCTGTTTCTTCTGCAAAATTCTTCTGTTTCTCTAATCCTCTCTTCCTTCTCTCTGCGGTACGCTTTCGTCAGTTGAAGCAGTAATTCTTTATTTTGTAGTTTTCTTCTTTTTGTATGAATTTAATAAAATTTAGTAAGTCAGAAAAATCTATTTTTTTAATTAATGTTCTTTTAATTATATGTAATTTTTTCTTTGGATATATATTCCTTTTGGAAATATCATAAAATATATTTTCTGAAGGTAATAAAATAAATAATATAGCTGGTTAAATTGTGTTGATTAAGACTAGGGGAAGAAAAGGAGAATGATCAGATAAGGAAAGAGTCGGTGAGTGGCGCCTGATGTATAGAGCTTAGGAGAAGAATATTAGGCCAAGATTAATGGTTGGGGTACCAAATTTCTTTCATACTGGCAGACTCCAATTAATGAATCAGTCCTACACCAATGTTCGAAGTAATTGGTGTAGGCCTTTCCTACTATCCAAAGCTATTTTGAGGAGAATAAATCAGCTATTAAGGTCTAGTATTATTATCTCTAGAAATTTTGAGTTTAAGTAATTATATTTATATAGTATATTTACATTTATTGTTAATTAGCTAGAAATATTTTAAATAAATATTATTTTATAATTATCTCAAATAAATAAATAAAATATCAGGTATGGTCTAAGAAGTTTTGGGAGGAAAAATGAGAGTGCCAAAGGAGCTCAAGTGTGTTGGAATGTAGCATATTTGGGCATCATTACTAGAGCTGGCTCATTATGGGTAGAAGCTTATGTCTCAAAAGGATATGCTGCTAAATAGAGGCATGGAGATAGACGGCCGATGTAACATGTGTCACAATGAAATGGAGTCGAGGAATCATATTTATTTTGATTGCTCATACACTGAAGCTGTGTGGAAATGGATTCTACTACTATGCAAGTTGCCGAGGAGCATCGGAGGCAGGGAGCAAGAATTAAACTGGGCTCTTAGGGGGTTCAAAAGGAGAAATCCTTACTGAATTATGCATTTACTGACAACTTGTGTGTAATTAACACAAACAAGAAATAGAAACGTTCTTGCATTGGATGCCTTATTGTAATTGAATTTATGGTTTTTAGGGGTAAATTATACTTTAGTACCTAAACTATTACTTTTGTTCCGTTTTGGTACCTAAACATTATTTTTTCAAAACTATACCTAATGTTTAATTTAGATTTCATTTTGGTACCCTACCGTTAAAAACTTTACGAAACTATACATGACATTTTTTATGGGTAAATTTCATCACTCAACTATATTCTCACTCTTATTTAGTCACTAAAGTTTATTTTTTATTTAATTACTCAACTTTATAATTGTCAATCCTTTAATCATTCTAATTTTTTATTAATATTTTTTATGACATGACATTTATTATTATTATTATTTTATTAATATATAATTAAAAAAATTAAAGTTAATCTAAACCCAAAAATTATATCACAAACCCCTCATATATTAATAAAATAAGTTAGAGTGATTAAAATAGAAGTAATTTGAAAGTTAAGTGATTAAATTTAAAAAAAATCAATGACCAAAATAGAAGTGAGAAGATAGTTGAGTGATGAATGATGTAATTTACTAATAAAATGTCACATACAATAGTTATTTTTGAGTTTTTAACGAGAGGTGTACCAAAATGAAACTCAAACTAAATGTTACGTATAATTTAAAAAAAATAAAGTTTAGATACCAAAATAGAATAAAATAATAATTTAGGTATTAAACGTATAGTTTATCCATTTTTTTAAAGATATAATTAGTAGGATAACCAACTCTTTTCTTCTTATAATGAAGAAAAATATAACTTTGTGAATCCTTCTTCGTATCGAAATAAACAATTCAAACACGTTTCATTCTATAACTGGTTTGATGAAAGCTTGGAATGTAACTTTAAACTAGTAGGGCACAAAATAAACTCAAGTGCTTTTGCAATCTTAGATTAAGGTTAGTATGGCCTAATATATCATCAAGTAAACAATTATCAACGTAAAACAGTGGTGCATTAGCTGTCACATACCGTTTCTCGTTTTTCGGCGCATTAATTTACAGGCATCAATGAAAAAAAACGGGAATAGTTTAAAGTATAAACTAAGTATTTAGTCATTTAATTATACGTAAATTTCAGTTTTAGTTAATTAATTTTTTAGATTATATATATTATTACATTTTAATTTTATTTTGATCATTTACTGCTAAAAAATTAACGATAATATTGACATATTATCATAAGATAATACGTTACCATCATTGAAAAAAATATCATACCAATAGTTCTATTAATTTTTTAATGGACGGTGACCAAAATAAAATGAAAAAGTAATGTTATATATGATATATAAAAAAAGATACTTGTATGATCAAAATAAAATCATGTAAATAATTGGATGATTAAATACATAATTTGCCCTAAAAACAAATTTCTCTATGACCAAAGAGTCTAAGATAGATATATCAGTCGCTCAACATGGGAAACAAGTTCTTGAACTGCAAACATTTTATACAAACGAACAGCCAGATACCCATCTCCTTGGAGGAAAAAATGCAAAATGACATAGACCTCAAACTGAAGAAAAAACACAAGAAAAAAGAATGCTCCACGTCTCTACAAGTTATTATACCTTCCAGAATTGTAATGTACCCTGCAACTTGACCCTTCTTCACTCGAAAGGTCCTGCAACAAAGAGCAATGAATTAGATCCAACAAACCCTAAAAAGAAGTTAGTATTATTAAGGAGAAAAATGGGTTCTTGGTTTTCACTTGTGAAGTATTGGAGTCCTCATGACAAAAACCGGATCTTTGTCTGTTATCCCTTCTCTCCACGAACCCTTCACTCTTGTCAGCTTTTTTGGAACCAATGTGGGTTATTTTTAGACTTGAAATCCCTTCCACCTTGTGGAAGTGGAACGCTTTGGAGGTGTCTCATCGTCAACAATAAGCAGCTCTTCTCTCAAACTTCTTTGCATTTGATTGCTATCTTTAAACGGCAAAAGCTTACCCTTAAAGAAAAGCTCATCCGCACTCATCATGGAGTAGTTGGACACTGAAAATTCCAAGTCTGAGGACACCAGAGCCTCCCTCGAGCTCCTCTCTTGTTTCATAATCTGCTCAATCTATCACGATGGAAGAAGAGTTGGGGTTAGAACATAATGAATCTGGTGGAAATCAGGAAAAGGAGTCGGGGTTAGAATAGAAAGAATTGGGGGAGAATCAGAAGCAAGTAGGGATTGAGAAAGGGAAGGAACCTGATGTTATACGGGCTGGGGAGTATCCTTTCTGCTCTGCAAACTCAGATTGCAAGTTCTCCAACTGTTTCTCTTTTTGTTCCACCATTTTGGCACTTGCGAATCATCTTTAAGATCTGCCATTTGATTATGTAGCTCTTTAACGCTTTGTTGAATGGCAGCCAACGTTGCATCTTTTGCCATCGTTTGATTTTTCTTCTGCTTTCTCAGACTCAGGCTCTGATATCAATTTGTTTTGTTTAGGGTTAATTGTATGTAGAAGATTGAGAGATTTAAGAAAAGAAATAATTATACAGAAAACGTTCAATTCATTCTCTAAAATTAATCCCTAATGGGAATAGGTACAACTTATATGTACCCTCACAGCTGTATCAAGTGATAGAAATCTACCAAATTTAACTGTAAGATTACTGATTCATATATTCTTTTCAGGTGGACTAATCAGCTCGGGGCCCAATGATCTCCCAGGCCCATGGTGTCTCTATTAGTTGCTGATGGATGTTTTTGGGTTAAGTCTGCTTGGGTCCAATGGAATGTTTCCTCTCCAATTGCTCCGGCCCGTTCATACTCTCCAGCCCATCCAGATGATCCGACCCGTTCATACTCCCCAGCCCGTGTAACATCAGGTTCTTTCTCTTTCTCAATCCCTAATTTTCCTCCAATCCCTAATTGCTTTTGATTCTCTCCCAATTCCTTCTGTTCTATCCCCAACTCTTTTTTCTAGAGTTTTCCCCAATTCATTTTGCTCTAACCCCAACTGTTCTTCCATCGTGACAAAATCTCGACAAAGTCGTTTGAGAAAGAGAATCGTGGGCTCATTGGGGAACAGTGATGATGAAGACTACGAGTTTTGTGCTCGGACTCATTAGACATTTCTAAGTATGCCATGAGCTTTTTAAAACAACACGAGGGAAAAAGAAGGAAGACAAAGAAGAAACCCTAAAAATTCTATGGGGACACTTCTTGCATTGTTACAACAATTTACTAAGTAGAATCTTGTATTTATATTTATGTTTGATGAGTAGATGTTATGTGCTTCTTTTTTGAATACATGCTTGTCATGTCCATGATGTGATGTTGTTTTGCCATGACATGTTAATTAGCATTCAATGATGATGACCAATTCATTAGCAAAACATAAATAAATATAAAAGGTATAGTTACAAACTTAAGCAGGAAATGAAGGATGAGAATCTTAAGTTCCACGCTGTGGTTCCATCAGAAAAAAGGACATGAAATGAATTTGAAATGCTAGAAATTTCATAGCCCATAAAATATTCCCTTTTTTCAAAAAACTTTTTATTCAGAGTCTGTACTTTTCAATTCTTTTTGCGATACCATGTGGTTCACTTATTTCTTCAATATCCTGGTCTAGAGTTTCTAATACTAGAAGATCTAAAAAATAATAATTGAGGTTAGTAACCATTACTAAAGTTTATTAAAATGTCTACATCCAAGAAATAAATGGAAAAATAATTAAAGCATGTCTTATAAACAGAAGACAAGAAAATTATGTAATTTTATCCATCAATATTGCAAAAATAAAAGATAAACACACATTATTACAGTATATGGATTGAAATAAGCAGGAAAATCCACAAAGGGTGCATGGAATTAAGGTTCACTACATGATACAAACACTCGTATTCGTAAAATAATTATGCCTGCATGTAATGTAGGGATTAGCAAACACACACATATATATAGCAAAATTATCAAATCACCAATCACTCTGATAAATTTTCATGTGCAAGCGTTTCTGAGCATAATTCACCAGTTTTTCAATCTCCTT